CGTTCTACATTAGTAACCTGCAAAGACAAATGCCAACTCTTGTCTACTATCTGTTATGCATGTGGGTCAGCCGTTGAACCAGCCAGAATTACCACGAGCAGAAAATAAGGTGGTCAGATTTGATAGCATCTCACCCTTTCTGTATCTCCACAACTTGAGGCTTCGCGATGCCTTCTTTCCTCACCTGCCGTCCTATTGTGACGTGAATGTTCATTTTAGTGGGAGCAACGGCTAAGAGTTTCAACTATGAAATACGGTAATTACTTAGAACAAGACGATGGTCATACACTTTCTTCGCACTGTGTCCTACTTTGGCTTTTGACTTGGATGTTTCTGTCATCTTCATCAAGCTAACATCCTTATCCCATGAACTGTTTTTTCTAATCCAGTGTCTTCACAGTACAGTGATCCGCTCACTGGTTTTTTCGTGCTTCCTCGCGTGAATGATCACACGATTGTTTGGCCGTTGAGTTCTCCTGTTCAACCACCAACAGCCGAGTCACCTGGGGCGCCGTTCGCCCTACTCTCTACCGTCCTACGACACCTCGAAAATTGCATGCCAAATGTTTATAACGAAAGCAAACATTGTGCCCTGCGCTGATAGCTACTGTTCACGGCGCCTACGAGTAATTTCCAACTGGTGCTTCTATTGAACGTCAGTTTGCGATCCATAGTCGTAGGACCTGTGACTAATCCATTATTCTTATTTATTTATTTACTGTTTTGCACGCCATTTTTTAAGCTCCCAGTTGAGAGTCATCAGTTGAATTTTGCGTCTTTCAGTCACTTGGGACCGATTCCAATTTAACCTGTTCATCACAACATGAATTCTCAGTCGAGTAGTGCTTTCACCTTCCCACTTAGTACTGAGGCATTTTCGGTAATCAGCTACACCATCCAGACAAACTCAAACAGCGACAATCTTCCCTTTTTCACCGAAAATTGTATTATTCCCTTTCAGATCAGCAATCGCATCTAGTAAACCGAGTGATGACCAGCAGTGTGCACTTCTTTTAATAGCTGAATCGCAATACAATTGCACTTGTTTGTGGTCTCTTGATTAAGCATTGGTACCAATAACTGGTGGGACGTTTTAGTGACTAAGATTGGTCGATCAAATTGGGTTGATGACTGGGAAGAACACATTCGGAGAAGTACAAGCAAGGCATCTCGATACATGGCAACTGGACGTTTTTTTATCAAAACACAATTTGTATAGTCTATGGTTTATACGGGACTCATCTTTTCCATATCATCCAAATTTACTCTTTTGATTCTTTCTCATCTTGACGCCCCGGTTTTCGAGCACTAATTACCCTTTTTCACCTGGAATTTACAGCTGCACCTGTCTTCTCTGTTTTCATTAATTCCCTCAACCCTTTCACACGACGTACTAAGTCTGCGCACTTTCCTTGTCTTCTTCACTTTACTGGTGGGCTAAATCACTTACTATTCAGCCTGTCCTTGAGGAGCACTTCGACTTCTAGAAAAGTGTTGTCTTCCTGTGTGCATGTTTCTAGGTTGGTGAAAAACCTATGGTTGGCGGGTTGGATTTGATGCTCATGTACTCCTATTCACACGGGCAATTATATCCGAACTGTTCACGAATGAAGAACGCCTTGTGAATGCAAAAACTCGCTCTCAAGAGATATTTCAACAACTTGATAAAAGCAATTCCTTCAAGTGTGTTTTGTGCACCTAATTTTCCATTTTTTCATTACCCCAAAATAATGAACATGGAGATCTCACGGTGGTGTCGATGGCGGCTAGAATAATGGTGCTCGTCAACATGAGCATTTCATATCGGTTCGAAAGTATAAATGGAACAATATGGAAAACTGATTGGTAGTAAAACAAAATATTATCCAATCGGATACAGGATTACTGAGTGAGTGAGTCTGGTGGCATGCCACACGACCAAAGCGAGCTTGACGGCTTGACGCTTTTGACGGCATAGAGCCGGGTTACGCAACCCTAGTGCAACAGCTTCAGCCGTTGTCAAGCCTTTCAGTCGACGTCGGCAACCTATGGTGCACTATGCGGACGGTTTGCAATGACTCATTCGGAGTGATCATGTGACTAGTCTCAACTATGTGTGATGCGGTTGTGATGTGCTCTTGATAACAATATGCATCATTCAATCAAGTTTCCCACTGTTACTAGTTGGCTGTACACAGTTCGTGCGCTCTTTTGCAGTTCAACGCTCACGTGTTCGATTATGTCATCCGCTTGAACTAAATTGTTACCTTCGATTCACCCCACCCTGCATAGTTTGCTTATCTTCTAAGTGTTAGCCTGAAGCATCTAATTGATGCACTGGTGAAATTAACTTTTAGACTCTCCATTATGGAGAACATCCATGCGATCAACCAAAATTAGAGAGGATTCGGTCTTAACTAAAAATTATCGTAAAATGCTCCTAGCAGTAGATGCAGTGTCTCTCACTGTATTCTCCAGTTATTCCTGTTCTTTATCGGGCCTTGAAATAGTTCGACTGTTGAACTGATTTGCCGAAGTGGATTTCATTCGATCGTTTGCTTATGTCGAGTGATTTGTGGTTGCAGTGTCGCAACTAGGGGCCGACCGCTTCCTCATATCTCTAGACCTCGTGTTGCTATCGTCAAACTCGTAACCGTCATCTACAAGTTAAACTGGAGACTGTGTTTGTCCTTCTAAGTATTACGACATTCCGCTTGACGAAAAAATGCCTGCCACACCACCTACTTGTGATCAGCCAAACTAACATTCGATAAACAGGTTTGAATATGGGCAGAAATCCTATCTACAGATAATCAATACTGCAACTTTTATGGTATGTATTTGCCGTCAGCTGGGTGCCGAATCCCGGTCAGTTGGTCTCTCGAGCATCTGGCTGCTATGTATGCGTCTCCACAGCCACACACATTCCTTCCAACATGAGTTGTAGCACGGGATAGTGTAATGATGCAACCTGACGACTGAATCCCGGAAGCAATATTTGTTGGGCCTCCCATTCCCTCTTTCGGTACTTGGCCGATAAGAGCCTTTGTGAAGGCTCATTCGTGTGACTACGGCCCAACCACAAAATGTATTGACTGTTGTTGTCGAAGAGCTGCTTATTTCGTCTTAAAGTTGTGTGAATTAGTACCCCAGAGAATACCAGCAAAATCGCCGTTGGTATCCCATAATTTCGAGGCCCATTAGCGATCGATATCAGCTACTCGACAAAACTCTATGTGTGGGTGAACATGGCCCATAAGAAAGAGACATGCTTGGAGCTGCAGTTGTTTTACTCAATTTGTGAAAAATCTTGATTTAAAACAGGTTTCACTAAGTGGACTGCAGCAGACCGTGGGGCAGTGTCAGCAACTTAGCATGTTTCTGAGTGCAATCAAGTGTCACAGCGGTAGCGTGTCTTTATCGCTGTTCCCTTTTATGTCCATCAGAGCAACCGGCAATCTTTGTTCTGTTTCACGAAAAAGACGTCTTTACTGTGAATGACTCTCGGAACATGCCGGCGTGTATACGTCTTTGAACGCGGTGACTTCCGGTCACTTAGCCTATTGACACGATTCAGCACGGCTACACGTGTCCAAAAGTGGCCAAATTGGACGAAAACTCTGGGTTCATCATTTCGGTCTTCGTAGGACATCACTCATTTGTTACAGGTTTTCATACCATAGTAGTCATGCCAGTTAGTTCATCACCTGAAGATATTCATTCTTACATCTTTTATTTTTTCAGTTGAACTCCCTGATTCTTGTCTGCGCTTTACTGGGCTTCGCAAAACACATTCCATCAGTGCTGATGAGATCGAAGCGCGCCAAGTTCGCACACGAATTATACAGTTTTGGGTTGTGTACTTTGGTTTAATTATCCTACTTCTCGTGTAGCTTTGACTTCTTTTGCATAAGTTGTGGATTCGCGTTGTTGCATTTGAACATGGACAATTTCTTTCCTCAGAATGGACATAAGTATGGATACGGTTTGACATAAACGATTTCTAGGTCATATTTTAAAACTTTTCTGGCCTGATAGACTTAATCTTGTTCACTGACAAGCAGTAAAAGTGTTTACGTGCCTTATCACAGCCCACCGGAAGCTAGTAAGCTGTGAATGAATGGTTTTGTAGTCTTTTTGTGACCAACCAGACGAGACCTTCGTCGATATGTTTTTGTTAGGCAGTTATCTATTGAAACTTACGATTACGCTATCAAGCACCGCATGGGCGTTTGCTGCGACATGGTTCTTGAATGTGAGTAGTGCAATACCGTCACTGTATGGTTACTTGATTGACACCTTAGTCTTGGTCTTGATTCCTGCGTGCGCGTTACTCATTCGGCGGCCAGATTCGGCAGCTACCAGATAACTTTACCCCACTTGTTGCTGGTACGGCTCCAAGTTTTCTCTACATCGGAGAGGGCCGTACAGAACGGGACGCTAATAGCTTGGTTAGTATGTGACAGATTGTCGCAATCGTAGTGTCCTATGATTTGGAAGGAAGGTCGAAAAGGCATGAGATATATTTCGTTAGGTTTTGTTACATAGATGACTGGATTGACGGTCTCTCAGAAAATATCTCACCTCGCAAAAGAATCATTTCTATTTAGTTTTTTCATCTTTAAAAAATTGACTATAAACGATCATGACGATAGCGTCGTATCCTCCGCTCGATTCTTGCGAAATCCGTGGGATATGCCATTTATTTGGGCGAGCAGTTCACACGGAAATTCCTCTGCCGCAAACTTCTCTGTGACCATTAGCTGTGATCGTGAATTGCACATCCGGTTTAGCTCTCTCTGGTATCCAATCATGATAGAACGTATAGAGGTAGTATCAACATTCAGGCTCGTGGAAAACTCCCATTAGGTCCGACTTGATTAAGCACGGTGTCAGACCTTGGTGGCATAGTATATTAGCATATTATTGAACTGGGACTATTGACCTGTCACGTGACCTAGCGTGTCCAACCAGTTGTGCGGGTTTGAAATTCCACTAATAGTCTTATTGGTGGATAGCTTGCTGGCTGTAAAGTCCGTCAAGTAAGCTTGACTTGGCTTCATTCTACGAAGTGCCACATTAAGTCGACATTCATTCATTCTCGTGATGCGATTACACCTCATGCCTTTTCATCTCGTTATTGACCCTAGCTGTGTGTAACAGCATATTCATTCTTTGATATAATTACCCCACCAAAGTTAGGTATGTTTATATTAATGTATGAGAACCCGGATATGTGGACTGCTGTCTGAGGATACTGAACGCCCCCGGGTACATGGCAAGTTATGGATACCGATGGTTCTCTTTTCTATTTCTCATCTACATTTGGTATATTCGGACTTTTTCAGTACTTTTCAAAAAACACAGGCCCCAAAATTCAAAATACTTTATGCAGGTAGCAAAATTAGTCAAAATATTACAACTATCCAGGGACTTCGACTTGGCTTGAATTTCTGGCTACTGATCCTGGTGCACATAGGGAGCAAAATTACCGGTCACGGGTAATCTTCCGATAAGGCGTCACCATTGTTTGGTACAGGGAAGAGGCAGAAGTTCCCGTGTGCGCGTGTCTCAGTCAGCTTACACATTAAGTACTCCATCATCCAATCAGCCCCCGCACTTTTCACCGCGCTGTTCACACATTGGATGAGTGAGTCAAGGATCCACTGTTGTCCTAATGGAGGCATCTCGGTAGTTTCTTGACCTTTATGAAAATTGATGTCCTTTAGTACTACCTTGTCTAAGTGTTCTTTGAGGCTTGCTCGAGGACTCCATAGAAAATGTGCACCAGAATTTCGCGAGCGTACCACTTCTATGCTATTTAGTGAGGCTGAAGTGTCAAAACTAGAAGACGAAATAGTTATTTGGTTTGTAAATTCGGAGGTGAAGGGTTTTCCATAAGAATAAAACGGCACCAGTGTTCAAAGAAAAGGGATGCCTGTTAGCTGTACGAAAAACCCCACAAACGGTATTATGTTGTCCCTATCAACTTTTGAATTGGTATTTAGGTAGGACACAGCTGTGTCGCATATTTATTTTTCTACGATTTGTACCACAGCTTACCAGTTCAACACCACCAGGAAATCAGCTATTAACTTTGTAGTCCCTGCCGGGCAAAGTGAAGCTGAATGAGCCGGAATTCCAAATGCTGCTCTTTGTGTATTTGTAGGCTGCGTTACACTTGCTAACCTTGGCGTGGACATCGACCCCAAGTATACACGTTTCCAAAACTCTTGTCTTTCATTGGGTTGTTCCGAATAAGTTACAAGAGATAGATAGCATTCAAAAGAAGGGCCATTGCATGACGTGACCTCGGTGACACGCTTTCCACAGGTGCTACATCTGATACTGAAATGGTCGCTCAGAAAACTATGCATTTGTTCGTCGAAATAAACGTTTTTAAAAGTCACAAATTCTCTCGGATGTTTGTCTGGATGCTGTTTGGTCTTCACTAGCCTATGGCAGCAAAGCAAAGAGTGTCTATGGGTAGCGCATTAAAATGACTGACTGATTTCACCCAGAATGACCACATCGTCTTTTTCAGTCAGTTACCTGAATAAGTTTCGGACAGGGATGCTCAGCAAATGTCCAAGATTGACGGAAATCTTTGTACCATGGTGTACTCTGCTGCCCAGATCTATTGTTTCCAAAGGGTTTAAGTCGTGAGTCTCTCTGACGGTTTGGTTCAGTTACGGGGGCTGGGTGCAAATATAGTCAACTTTTGCAATGATAGTTGTTTTCCGGTTTTCACGCGTGATAGGTTCGTACCCCCTAATAGCAAATGCCAAGGAAAACCGGTGTTATCACAGTTATGGTTTCTTCTGAACCAAAGTGGGCTCCGGTATCTTATTGAGACATCTGAATTCATAGCATGCTGTGAGACATAACACCACTTAGTGTCCAGATATATTGAATCACCATTTATGTCGCTCTTGTTAACAGGCAGTTGCAAATTCGGATACACTCCAAAAATTTGTCCGTGGGAGCAGTAGTGGTAGTGGTAGTATGTAAATTCATGATGCATTTTATCAAGGATCTGAGGACGTCCATCATGGTAACGACTAGTTTTAACGATATGTTCGCAGGTCGTTCCCACAGGGTTTTTTGCGTAGGATGCAATGAACAAACAGGACGTGGTCAACCAGGACACTACAAATGACGCGTCCAAGGTGTTTTTTCCTGCATCAATCACTACACACCAGGGTTGATTCCATTATAGCTTGATTATTTCTTCCTGTGATAATTTAAAGACATCTCGTGTAGCTGTAATTCCGTAGAAGTATACCAGACCTGTCAAGAAATATGGGCGGATATTATCTGTGTCCGCCGTTTATGATTCCGTTTTCGTGATTGTCTCAATGTGCGGTCATTTTTACGCGGTTGGTTACATTTTATACAACGTATTTTTCGAAGATATTCTCGTACGCAGCTGATTCCTCTAGATTAAATGACATGTGACAGGTTGTATAACTCATCTCTGTTCTCAATTCATTCAAACTTTGCGAGGAGATTTCTGGAAGTTTTAAAGTGAACAACAAATTTTCCAGATGTTTCAAAACGCATAGCTTCACTAAATTTCATATCAGTTTGTTATTGTTTCTTCTCATAGAGACGGTGAAAACCGCACCTGCTTGAAATATAGGGCAAATGTTCAACCAGCTAAATTCCCTTCAGCCGATAGAAATCCAAGGGATAGGATCGGACGGTAAACAGAAAGAGGAGTTATAATGCCAACATCAGGCTTCTAACATGGTTATTATTGTCAGGTCATGTAGTCATAGGTGAAAAGTAACTGTAGTGGGTCGCTAGTTAAGTGGCTCTATCCCGAGACATATACATACCTAGCTGGTGTTGAACCAAAATCATTCTGGAGTGCAGAATGGTGGCCACAGAAAGTCACCTTTTGCACAGTAGCAAGCATAGATTTTAGGGGGCCTGCGAGACGTCTTATAAACTCACTTCATTCACCAGTGTATAGCACAAAGATCACTTTGTTGCTTCTCGTTCATGCCAGGATGGTAAGCTAATGTCACATGCGATCTATCAACAGCCGCGGGTGCAACGAACCAAATGTCCTCTACCCAGTATAGATTCAAGGGAATAAGACTGTAGATGGACAGGAAAATATGGTCCTGAGGCTATCAGAATATATGACTATAGTGGCCTATAAATTTTAACTCATGTGCAGAAAGCTAAACAATCAAAGCTCGTGTGGTGTGCGAAGGATTTCCTTTAATTCACCACCACTCGTAAGATGCATCCCAGGCGCACTCATAGCTACTATCAGCCAACAATCATTGGTGATAATCTCTATCATCGTTGCAGGTTTAGCACTTCCGAAAGCCCAGATCGTTAGAGCGGATAATTGACTCAACGTACACACGGATACCCCACTACTTACGGCAACCTTGCGGAAACAGTGGTCAGAACCAGATGATTTTAGATTGCCGTCTTCTATCAAATTCCTGGTGTGAACGTGATGACGACCGTCATCAGCTCTCAAAACGAAACAGAAATGTATGGTGTGAACATGGGGTTCTCGATCCCATAGAGGTAATATTCAGAGCTAAAGTTAAAAATAACGCTTGAAACCTCAGTAGGTGGGAGCAGATCTACGATGACAAGGACGAACCATTAGTGTGAAGTCTGGGAGTCCTAAAGCGATTAAAACAGCTTGTCCAAAAGCTACGTTCCTACTCCTATCGAATTATGAGGCACGTCACTAAATCCTCCTCAACTGCATATTCAAAATGGACAACATTTTGGTGGCAGTAGTTGTTTGAATTTCCTAAAGAAGGATACTCATCAAGTGGAATGGAAGATGCTATGGCCAGTGACGGTGTCAGCAATAGTTCTGTGTCACTTATGCTCCTTGCTAATGTTGCGAATTCAGCACAAAGACTGAAGAGCAAGTGACGGTCTACGTGATATGAGCAGCTTCATTGGCATAACTCACATTTATGCGATAGACAGGATACTACCATTGTGTTCAAACCTGGATACGATAACGACTAGGATATTCCACAACAGCCTAATCGCAAGGCAACATTAATCGTCGCGTAACCGCCAAAGTGATTCGAAGTATATCGGGTAAGTATCCTCAAACCTTCAACCAGAGGAACTGTCTGACTCTCCCAGTGGTTCTCAATTTGGGCGCCGCAACCCACGGGAGGAAGGTGTGGAGAAGTCAGAGAATTCTGTCACAGCAAGCGATAGCGGAACGAGTATCGGCAACGTGGATTAACTGTGGATACAGTTGTCAGCGCAATTCAAATTCAGTGCAAACTACTTTGGGCAGAGCTTTCACCGCAGGATATTACAGTGTTGTTTCTTGTTTTATATCATCACTCTTACCAGCCCTAACGCAGTATCTTCGTCAACTGGAGTGCCACTAATTCATCCGCTGCTGGAGACGATTGCGACTCGAATCAGTTTACGTTAGCTCAGGTTTACCCACACCGTGCATCGTCCCGGTCGGCTCTCACTTGAGCCAACTTCACCTGGCGATCCGATTTGGTTTAGATTGCAAACCATGTGTAAAAGTATACCGGCGGCACTTAGGAGTACGGCCAACCTGACTAGAACTGGTCACCGTCATACCACGACTACCATCTACCGTGAGGCAAAAAACAGAAAGAACCACTGGCTCGCCACCCGTAACCTAGACCCTATTTGGATCCCATTGGCCCTTCCTAGTGGTTCTAGTTTCTCCCATATAGATACATAGGGGTGGGGTATATAGGGCTATTACAAGCAATTGTAGCGATATAGATATCCTGAAACAGCGCAAAGTGACCTCGACTTGATTAAAACTTAGCACCGCTAGGTAGAAAGGGATTCTATTGGAGAAATCAACAAATGCTGATGTCTAAACTGCGTTTCTCGTCAATCGTCAAATTTACGTCAGACCCACCGGCCTGAGTTTGAAATTGAAATGCAATTTATCATTCAACTTCCTTCGGACCAAGTACGTTCAACTGTCTCGATTATTCGGGTTTAACGTGTCGAGTCACAAGTGACTTGAGTTGCACGCAACTCATCA